TCACAATTATTTGCTATGCATCAGAGAGCTGGACAATGACTAAGGATGATCGAAGAATGATGCCTTTGGGTTACGGTACTGGAGAAGAGTAATGAACATACCATGGACTGCTAAGAGAACAAACAAATCTCTCCTGGAGAGGGTGAAACTGAGCTCCTCCTCAGAGACAAGGATTTTGAAACTCTGTATCACACATACTTAGGGAATATTGCTAGAAGGGACAAGTCCTTGGAGAGGAACATCATGCTTGGAAGGGTGAAGGGACAGTGCAGAAGAGGAAGACTGGATAAGCTGGATCAACTCAGTGACTGGGATAATGGGGATAGCTGTGTCAAAGACAGTGAAATTGGCTTCAAGATAGGGCAAGGTTCAGAGCTAATACACATAGGGTCACTATGAGTTGCAGGTGACTCAGTGGCAACACAACAATAACAACATTATTGAAATGGAGCTGACATATAACTTATCCTTCAGCAGGCTTTCGGAGGATGTAAATTGCATGAGAGGAGACTGACCATCTTCCTGCCAGGAGCAGGTGGATTCAAATTGTATACCTTTGGGTTGGCAACACAACTCCTTAGCACTAGGCCACCAGAGCTCCTTATAGAATACCTAGATATATTATAGAAAGACATAAGCAACAAAAACTTTAAAATCACCTCCAAAAGAAATTAAAAACTCATTGCGTCCTTTCTGACCTCTCTACCTCCTGAAATGGGCCACCATCATGAGAGCATTTTTCTTGCTTAATAAACTTTCCATCTTTAACTATTAAAAACAAACAAACACACACACACACTCCAATCCAACTACTAAATGATGTTTGCCATTATAAACACACACACACACACACACACACACACACACACACACACACACCCCCCTCATTGCCATAGTCATAACTGCTCAGAGCTGGTCCTCCAAATATAATAAAAGACACAACGACTAAAGCACAGAATTGAGAGAATCCAGGAGAAAAAACCCATACATAATAAAATTATTTTCAACAAAGGTGTTAAATTAATTCAGTGGAAGCAAGAATTTTGTTAATAAATACTACTGAAAATGTAATTTACACAGAGACTAATTAATCAGGATTCATGTCTACTACTACACGTACACATAGTCAAAGCCACTGAAGTACCTTAACATGAAAACAAACTCATAAAATTCTTGGACAAAAACGTAAGGTTATAGATATGGAGCATAGTTTTAAATAATGGATTATCAGATATTGAAACAGAACATGAGCAACAAAAATATATATAATTGCAGATCTGTATGTTCATCAAAAGACTTCATTACAACATAAAGATTGGAAAAATACCCTCAGGGACCATTTTCCTTTTAAGAGAGAGAAAGGAATATTGCAAAAGGTAAATATATTGTGAAGGATTTGTTTGTAGTGGTCAAGAACAAAGAAACCACTTTGATGACAAATGTGCACCACACTCAAGCCATATTTTCAGTCACTTCATAGACATATGAGAATGGATAAGGAAGACCAAAGAAGAAATGATGCCTTTAAATTACAGTGTTGGTGAAGAAAATTGATCATACCATGAATACTACTTAGAACAAGGATGGTGAGATTTCATTTCATATACTTTCACCCTGTTATCAGGAGGGGATCGGTTTCTGGAGAAGAATATCATGCTTAGCAAAACGGAGAGATAGTGAAAAAGAAGACCCTTCGTGGGTGGATTGACATAGTGGCTTTTCCCAACAAACTTGACATAGCCATAATTGCAAGGTTGGTGAGGATTGATGAAGACTGCTTTGTTCTGCTAGACACAGGTATTATGAGATGAAGCCTACTCAATGGTTCCTAACAACAACAAAACATGAATTGGAATTGATTCAAAGATATTGGGTCTTTTTCATATTTAGGAACAAAAAGATTTTGGCTTATAAGACCCTGAGGAGAGACTCTAGTCATATTATAAGAGACTTCAGGCCTATGGAACTATGAGCTAATAAGTGAGTGTGTTTTAAGGAGCTAAATTTTAGTTATATATTACACAATATAAACTAGTGCCAAGTCCTCATGCTTCTTCACCAGTCAACAGAAACTATACACTCTAATTATGTTTCTGAAAGTTTGTAAATCAATAACAATTGCTAGTTTCTAAAAGTCAGATATCTAATTTGCAAAAAATCAGGGACAGGCCTTAACATTTGGACAATAAATAATCAGCAGGTGCCTTATGTCACTCGTCACACTAACACAACCACCAGCCACCACACTAGTATCACAATTGATCACTCCCTAAATTTTGCTGCTTCTGAAAGCCAGTCCCTGGACACTCGGGTTTCCAAAAACTTTAAATAGTCTCTTCTCCAGTTTTGTTTAGGAAAACTGTGCCTTTTAAGTAGAGTTCTCTTTGCAAACTAATTGGAGGTTCATGTATCTTGCATAAGATCTAAGCTCTGAAAAAAAAAAAGATATAAGCTCTGCTAGCCTAGTGGCAAGAAGCTGTGCCTCAATCCCAAAGGCACATGGTTCGAGGCCACCAGCTGCTGTACAGGAGAAAGATGGGCAATCTCCTCTCATGGGATTAACTGCCTCTGAAAATCCATTAGAGGGTCAGCTATGGGTCAGCTCCAACTCTATGATATACAACAAAATATAGTTTAAGTTGCAATATATAATTTATCTTGCATAAGATATAGTTGTTTGAGTTATTTTAAGATTTCCAATTGTTCATTATCTGCCTACATTTAGTTATGAGTTCAATCTTGTGAGTGATAGGCATTGATGAAGTTGTGAGATTATGAAATTACTTTTTTTTCAGTACTTTGAATAATAGTCACTAACTTTTTGTTTGTACTCAAGCCTTTCATGAGGAATCTTCTGAATAGTAGACATATGTGAAATTTGGGCAAAGTCTTTTTAAAGCTATTTATATTGTATGCAATTCTTCATTCAGCATTGAAAATACTCTAAAGTAAAATGAAAATCATTCTAATAAAATAACTGCTAAAGATAAAAGATATATTATTTCTTCAACTAATACCAAAGAAAAGGTAAATTGATTAAGAGAAATTCAGAGGAAATAACTGAAGCAGAATTTAAAATGTTTTTTTTACACTAATTTCATCATCACATCAAGTTACTTTTTAATATACTGCTATTAGAAGCATTTCTGTTTTCAAAATTACAAAGAAAGATATGAATGCCAGGACAGAAATCTACTGTGAAAATAAAAAAAAGATAGTATCTCTACTCATTATTAAAATTCCCAGTAGAGATCTAAGTGACCCAAATATTTATGGTATAACTAACGATGCAAATAATCAAATGCGGATGAAAATTTCCCTGTACTTATGCAATATTTTTCTCATAAATTATTGTGGCATCTACTTCCTAAACAACATGTCTCCAGAAACTCTATAAACTTTGATAAATGTCGATAGTTGTTGAGGGGCTTCAGGCCTTTTGTTCATAGGGTTGATATGACTCATGCTCGACTTGAAGGCAATCAACAACAATTCAACAATTGTGAGTAAAAGCGCTTCCTTATGAGATTTTAGAAAGAGAACTAAGGGTTTGTTTGTTTTTTTAATAGCAATTTTCTTACTAAACAAGGAATTAATGAGTGGAAAAATAAGCACCAACTTTTTGTGCAGGTAATACAAATTTTGTGCAAGTTTGTGTAAATATGTTGTTGTGTGCTGTCAAGTCAACTACACTCCAGAGCAACCCTATGAAAATAGCTTTGAACCTTGTCCTGTTTGGAGCCAACCTCACCATTTACACATGACCCTATTGCCACAGTCACTATGTCAATCCATCTCATTAAGGTCTTCCTTTTCTGTGCTGATTCTCCACCCTTTCAAGCATGGTGTCCTTCTCCAAGGACTGTTTCCACCTGGCAACAGGCCCAAAATATTTAAGAAGGAGCTTCAAAATCCTTGTCTCCAAGGAGCACATTAGCACATTGGTTTCACCTTCAGTCCTTGGTATGTTCAATACTCTACTCCAACACCACAACTCAAAAGCATTGATTCTTCTTCTGTCGTCTTTACTCATTATCCACCTCTCAGATGCATAGAAAGCAACTGAGAGGATCATGGCCTGAATCAGACACACCATAGTCTCTAAACTGATATCATTGCTCGTTAGCACTCTGGAGAAATCCTTGACAGTAGGTTTCCCCATTGCAACTCATCTTTTTATTTCCTGACTGCTAGAGCCAAGATTCTTTTGGATACATGGCCAGGAGAAGGACATATGCTTGGAAAGGTGGAGGACAGCACAGAAGAAGAAGATCCAGGATGAGATGGATTTGCATTATTCATGGATGGTATTCTTGATATCCTTCCAAAGCTAATCTGGTCTTCACTCATGTGTTCAAGGCCTCAAACTTCCTCAAACTTGTTCCTGAGACAGTTTTAAAATTCATGTCAAATGTACTCAAATTTTGGTTCTTGTGGGTTTACTATTGTTCTCCTTAGAGTCAGTTTGAACTTGCATTGGAGTAGTCAATTATCTGTTTTACCATCAGCACCTGGTCTAGTTTTCACAACTGATACTGAGCTTCTCCAACCATTCTTTCCACAGATGTAAACAGTCTGACTTTTGTGCAGACCCTCAGGTGAGATCCATGTGTATAATCACTATTTGTGCTTCTTATAAAAAGTATTTGCTATAAATAAATCATTGTTTGTACAAAATTATATCATTTTATCTCCAGCCTCATTTCTGTCACCAAGTCCATGTTTTCCAGCTAATGATCCTTCTTCCTTGTTTCCAACATTTGCATTCCAGTCACCAATAATTATTAATAAAACTTGATTGCATGTTCTATCAATTTCTGACTGCAAAAGTTGGTAGAAATTTCCTATTTCCTCCCCTTTGGCTCTAGTCATCCTTGTATGCATAAGGATATTATCTGGTCATTCACAACTGGAAATGGTCTTTAAATTTTGACTGGGCCCCTGTTTTTCCTCAATTTTTCATCTCTGGTTTAGTAGAACATATGATAGTCTGATTCATAATGGCTCATGACAATATATCTCAGCTCACCAATGCCTCCTATGTCAATACGTATGTGTTCCATTTCTTCCTTAACAATGTCCTATTTTCCTACATTCATGCTTCTCACACTCCACATTCCAATCATTAGTATCTGCTTACAGCTGTTTCTCCTACTTTACATTACCCAATACGAAGGCTCAGCCTCTGGTGCTATCTCTGCTAGTCCAATCTAAGTGTGCTCTATTGTGCATAGGTATTTGAAACCGCTTATTTCAAAAGTGATGGCCAATCCTTCTTTCCAGTCTGTCTTAATTTGAATGCTTAGCTTTAGGACAATATCTGAGAGACAAGCATTTTATCCAAAAAAGCAGATGGAAGACACTTCCTCATTACAAAAGTAGCCAATAGACACAAAATGAAAAGTAATAATTCAAGAGATGCTATGTAATCCTGAATGATGGAAAATACAATTTATGCTATAAAATATGGCATTTTGTGCTTCACCATGGATTTTGATGAACTTTTCTTAGAGTTGTTGATTTTATATCAGTACAGGTACAGGATAACAGCTCATAATGCTTATGTAGCATGTGTTTTCTTGCTAATGAGTGTTTGTTCCATGGACACTGAATGAAAGAAATTAAATGCCACCACTGTAGAAATAATATTTCAAGGTAAATAAAACATAAACTGTAACCATTAGTGCAAGAAATTTGATATATATTCTGCAAACAAGGTCTATTAAACAAACCACATTATTAGGGAACTATATAAACAATACGCTAGACCCATTACTATAGAATCTATTCAGACCAAGACAATCCCAGTTCTTACAGGTTAGAATTGCTATTAGACTTGCTTGCTTGTTTGTTAAAAATTACTCTGAGTGAAAATTTACAAAGCAAATTAATTTCTCATTCACCTTGTAAACATTTTGTTTCATGGCATTTGTTACAAGTCCCTCAATGTAACTCCATTCTTTCAACTTCTCGGTTTCCACTTTCTCATTAGTTCATCTTTCTTGTCACTTTCTGCCTTATGCATTTTGTTTTCAGCAAATACTGCCTTTTTTGTCACGTCTGGTTGGTCATATAATGAGCACATTCCTCACAGGTATCATTGCTCATTATATATGCTTATCTTTTCACATGCTAGACTGTCAATCAAAAAGTTAGCAGTTTGAAATCACAGTTGCTCCGTAGGAAAAAGATAGAAAGTCTCCTCTCATGAGCATTCATTTTAGAAACCTTGTAATGTATCACTATGTGTCAAAATCAACTTGAAGACAGTAGGTGAGTATTGTTTGGCTGAAAAGAAATCTATGAGTGTGGATTTAGTTTTAGAGTTGAAGGATATCAAAGCATCATAGCCTAAGGTTCAGTCTCTATCATACTAGTCTCTTTAAAGGAGATGAGGCCAATAGCTGTATTTTAGTTAGTTGCTCACACATTTTTTATTGTGATTTTTACAAAAATTTACAGTAAGGTTGAGTTTTAATGTATTCATTGTTGCACATTTTTCTCCCTCCCCAATCAGTCCACTTTGTAATGCACCTCTTGTTCCAGACAGTTGTCACAGATGATGCCTAAGACTTCAAAGAGTTCTTCTTTTCATCTCTTTCAATGCAGTGTTCATTATCTATCCACTCTTTTCCTCCAAGTCTCGATACCAGTCCTATTTTATAACAGCAGTATTACACAGTATTTATCTTTTCATGCCTGAGATATTTCACTCAGCATAATGTCTTGCAGGCTCACAAACTTTAAGACTTCAATTGCTACTCATAAAAGTAGGAAGTAGAATATTGTCTTAGTCAATGGCCCTACGCCTTCAAGTCCAGTGATTCAGTCCCTCAAGCTGTTTGGTTAGGACAAAGACATCTGCATAGCTTTGCCCCGCGCATACTTTACTCTATGACTGGATAGATGTAGTACATACACATGTAGAAATATCCTTTGCCAAACCTGTATATATTCATGGGTTTACTTCCACATGTATATTCTGCTTCCATATCTATCAAGGTATCCACTTGTAAGTTATTATTTGTTATTACTGTTATTTCAGGATTGTACATGTTAAATAGTATTTCTTGTTGTTTCTTTTTACCTTTGCATATCTATCATTATCTTAATTTTCTTGGTCATGCTGTACTGACTTCTTTCTTGTGGTATACTGACTTTTTACAATATTGTGCATTGCCTTTAACTAGAGAATAGGTTAATGTGTGTCTACTCCCTAGTTAGGGAGCACTAGTGGGATACTAGCAAGGAGCTGAACTACCAACCTTAAAACACGTGCTTCTAATCCACCAGCTGCTCCGAGGAAGAAAGATGTGCAATCTCCCCTGCCATCTGTGGTTACAGCTTCTAAAAACCCACTGGAGGGTCAGCCTGAGTTTTTTCCAATTCACTGGTCCACAATAACAATTCTAGTTGGTGATTTTCCCTGAGGCTCTGTTCTCTAGAGAAACAAAATCAGTACAGTTTATAGATATTGAACAAAACTTACCTCAAGGAAATGGCTCACATCCTGTAGAAGCTGGCAAGTCTCAAGTTTGCGGGTCAGGTGTCAAAACAGTTTTCTCCTGACTCACACAGCTGCCAGGACTGGTGAACTCATTCTCAGCAGGTCAGATGGCAAGGTGCTGCTGACTTGTGAATTCAATATGAGCAGGCAATCTGCTGGCTCAAATCCAAACAACTGGAAATCAAATGATGAGCCAGTGCAGGACCCAGATTGAGCAAAAAACAAGAGAACTTTCCCAGTAGAAAGAGAAGTTTATATTCAATGCAGGCCACACCTCTGAGTAATTTCCCTCAACTAATTGCTCACAGCAGATCTCATTAAGGAGATGATTACATTATATCAGATATCATCAAAGGATAAATCAGAGAATTATGGGTAGCCAAGTTGCTTAATTATCTTACTCCCATCCCTGGTAAGCATCAAAGAATGTTTCTTTCTGTGGGTAAAACTTTTCACAGTAATGATCTCATGCAATATTTGTCCTTGTGTGAGTGACTAATTTCCTTCAATATAATTTTTCCATACTCATTCATGTTGTAAGATGTTTCATTGATTCAACATCATGTAGAATCCCATTGTGTATGTGTGCCACGGTTTATTTATGCATTCATCCACTGATGAGACCTTACATTGTTTCCATCCATAGTTTATTTATCCATTCATCCACTGGTGAGACCTTGCGTTGTTTCTATCCATAGGTCTTTCTTGGCTCTAATCGTTACATAAGTAGATTGCCACACCTTTCTTCTGTGATGCCTTTGTGTGGATTTAAATTGTCAGCTTTTAGGTTAGTAGCCTAGTGCAAAAATTTTGTGCAACCCCAGAAATTGATCATCAACAGGGGGGAACCTCATGTACTTTAGATATTTATAATTGGTTTCAAATAAGAGTGATTTTAGATATACGTATGCCTAAGCACTATTTTATTATTACACACACATACACAATCAATTAGAAATGGTGTAAATTCAACTGGGCTTCTCATGCTTTTATTTATTAAGGCTGACAACTCTAGTCATGCTACATCATGTATGTACTCAGATCTTCGAGTACCAAATCTAGTATTTTCTATGTCATGACCGATCAAAAACATTCATAGTTTCATAGTGACTTTTCCATACTTGGTTGGTGCCCTAGACATTTGGCTAATGTCCATGGACTAGGAAATATAGAATCTCAATCTATTTCTTTTCTTTGCATCTATTTAGAGCATTCTTGTGTAAATAAAGAAAGGATTCTTGTGGACAGTTTTGTTTAAAAATGCCAAACTTAAGATTCTCTTCACTGATAAAAGATTTCAGAACGACTTTGAAATGTTTCAAATGACATGCAATTCTCTTAGAAGGGACAACACAAGGATCTCTATGGTAGAATTATGTCATTTTTGCAAGTGTCATGAAAACAATGTTAATTTTTTTAACCTTTAAGATTTCAAGTTTATTAAACAATGTTAATAATTTTAATCAATGAAAACCTGTCTCCATAGCTTTTCAATGTATGTGCAGAACAGACTACTTGGGAAACAGGGCTTTATGAGGAAGAATGTGACATCGGAATTTGAGGAAGACTCATCAACAACCTACATTATGAAGATGACACAAACTTGCTTGCTGAAACTAAGGAGGACCTGAAGCACTTGCTGCAGAAGGTCAAGGACGGTAGTTTTCAGTATGTGTGTCATCCTTGTGCAGGGGCCATTCTAATCTTCTCTGTATTGTTCCAATATTAATATATGTGCTGCCAAAGTGAGCATTGTAGTCTTCAATATGCACTGAAGCTCAACATCAAAAAGACAAAGATTCTCACCACTGGGCCAACTGGCAGCACCATGATGGATGGAGAAGAGATTGAAGTTGTTGCTCAGCTCCACAATTTCTCTTTTGGCACCAGCAATCAGGAAATTGAAAGATGAGTTGTATTGGGGAAAAGAAAATCTCTGTCAGGGACCTCTCCAAAGTACTAAGAAGCAACAATGTCAGTCTAGAGACTAAGGTGCTTCTTATCTAGGGCCATGATCATCTTTGTAATGACTTGCTATGCTTCAGATAGTTGGATGATGACTAAGGATGATGGAAGAAGAATCAATGCTTTTGAGTTGTGGTTCTGGAGAAGATTCTTGAACATACTATGGACCACCAAGAAAACAAATTATTCTGTCTTGGAGAGGGTGAAACCAATTTTCTCCTCAGAGGCTAGCATTTTGAAGCTCCATCTCATGTACTTTGGGCACGTAGCCAGCAGAGACTAGTCTTTGGAGAAGGACATCATGCTCAGAAGGGCAGAGGGACAGTGCAGGAGAGGAAGAGCCCGGATGAGATGGAGTGATACAGTAATTGGAGCAATGGAGGTTGGTGTGTAGGAATCAGTGAGACTGGCTCAGAACAAGGCAGGCTTCAGAGTTGCTGTACTCATGCTGCACTGTGAGTCCCAGGCAACTTGATGGCACATAACACCACCAATTCCATTTATAAAATATTTGCATATATATTTTATACAATGTAAATATATATATATATATATATATGATCCTTACAATAAGCAAATGGAGTTGTTATATATTTTT